CCCGGTCGTTAATGAATGCACACAGGGAGTAGCCAATGGAACTCAAGCAAAGACGGAAGCCACGGGTTCTTCGACTCCATTTAAAAAGGCCAACACGCATCTAACTTTTGAACAATCTGGGCTGGTACGTCAGCATGCTTCGTTTACCTCGAAGCAAGATAAAAACCTGTCATTCATCTTAATCCTCAAATTTTCGTTAGTCTGCTACAGTGGATTTTATCAGACATAAGGAGGCAATCGATGACCGGAAACTTGCGGTACGGGTATCATGTTTTTCGCACACAGGATGGAATATACATCACATGAATCATAGCTCGAACATGGGTTGTCTCTTCTTTCCAAACTGCCTCCAGGCGACTTGGCGCAGAAGCTGCAAGACGATGTTATCAAGCTTTGTGGGTTGCACGTTTAATTAAACCTGAGAATTCTTCTTCCTCCACTTCTGGACCCTCTCCAATTTCCTTTCCTTTCCTTTTCTATCCCATTTCCTACCTTAAGTATCTTCCCCATGACTTCTTTCTCCTTCCTTACACCGATGACCGATGCTTACCTACTCACACTGCTACTAATCTCGATCTATAGTGTACAACGATCTCTCTCATCCACCCGCGACGTTGATTGGGAACAAATACGCATGGAGGTCAGCGGATGGATCGGGTAACAACATCGGAGACCCGGAATTGGGAATGGCTGGCTCAACGTACGCGCGTTCAGTACAACAGAGTCATCCGTTGTCCCCAAGCGAGCTTCCTGATCCAGGACTGATTTTTGATACGTGAGTGCCCACGGTTCAATAAAATTTAGGAAAGCCAAAGTCGGCTGACCGAGTTTTATCTTTGACTCTTGGGTTCGTTTCCGCGGTCGTTTTGTAGGCTTTTGAAGCGTGATGGCGTACGTTACATTGTTGCCCCGAGGAGCGGGAGACTAATACTTAGTGGTGTTTCTTAATGTAGTTCCAGAGCCACCCAGCCGGACTTTCCTCGCTCATGTTCTCGTTCGCCGCTTTGGTGATTCATAGGTACGTTTTATCAGAACCTAGCCACGGTTCGGCTCGCATGTTACTAAATAAGTGTATATTCGACAACAGTGTTTTCCGCACGTCGCACACCGACGTAAACATCAACGAGACGTCATCTTATTGCGATCTGGCTCCTCTATATGGACATAACCAAGAGACTCAGGATCGAGTGCGGAACAAAGAAGCTGGGTTAGGACTTTTGCATCTTGATGTATTTGCGGAGGATAGGTTGCTTTTGCTTCCTCCTGCAGTATGTGTGCTGCTAGTGTTGTTCAATCGGAATCACAACGTAAGCTGTTTCTATGCATCTCGCTTCCGTCATTTGATTACATTGGTCGTTGGCCGATTCTAGTATATCGTGAAGAAGATTTTCGACATCAACGAGCGTAGAAAGTATCAAGACCCCTCTACTCTCTCTGAAAAGGCACGTGCTGCTCAGGATGAAGAGTTGTTCCAGACAGCACGTTTGTGTAATTGTGGTTGGTTTGGCACAGGTATGCTGTATCGTCCCTTTTCTGACGGTATTCACTCATCCTTTTCTGATAATGACAGCTATTTTCTCTGATTATGTTTCGTGTATTCTGGGCCTTGTCAGGCAGGGCAGTAGCTGGAGCTTGAATCCGTTCGGAGTCAGTCTTTGTACCTCATATCATTGATTTTCCATGAATAACCCCCTTTTTCCCAGGAAATAAGGAACCTCGACCATTCTGAATTTGAGAGAGGACGAGGAAACAGCTGTAGTGTGGAGGTTAGTCGCGTTCTTGTTGGAACTGTCGTCGAAACCATCATAATCTCTAAATACAGTTCAACTGTCTTTACCGGTGGCACGCTACCACGAGCAAAGAAGACGAGCAATGGACTTTGCAAATGATGAAGCAAATTTGGCCTGACAAGCCTATTGAGGAGTTGACACCTCGAGACTTTGTTATGGGCGCAAAAAAAGCTATGGGGAACTTACCGGATGTCAGTCATTGGACCTTCGGGAAGTAAGTGTTTACAGGCTGGGTATTGCCATTCACGTTGACCATCATGCACAACGTATTCAGCTTACAGAGACAAGAAGATGGCACGTTCAAGGACGAAGATTTGGCGGATCTACTCAAGAATGCGTTTGTATCTCTCCGTGGTAATATAGTCTATCGAAGTACTGACTTGCTGTAAATAGGACTGAGCATTCCGCAGGAGCATTCCGCGCTCGTGGTACTCCTGGTAAGCTGGCTATTTTGATTTCATAATCCCCAGTATGTTCTCATCATTGGTAACATTGAACCAGAATGCATGCGTCTTCACGAAATCATGGGAATCACCCAAAATCGCGCTTGGGGAGTATGTTCGTTGAATGATTTCAGGAAATATCTTGGCCTAAAACGTAAGTTTCATTTGATTTCATCCAAGATTCTCTTCTCTGCGTCACTCGTCCTGATAGAAGATCATCAATAGCATTCACTTCTTTCCTGGAATGGAACTCGAACCCGGAAATTGCTTATGCTGCTGAGAAGTTATATGGAAACATTGAATATCTGGAACTCTACGTCGGTTTGCAGGCAGAAGAAGCGAAACCTGTTGTGGAGGGAGCTGGGTTGTGTCCAGGTGAGTTGCTCGCTTCTATCTAACATCTACCTGACCTATTTTCTTTGTTATAGGATACACTATCAGCCGTGCCATCCTCAGCGACGCAATTGCCCTCACCCGGGGTGACCGCTACTTCACACATGATTTCACACCCTTCAACCTCACCGCCTGGGGATTTGCTGACTGCCAACGCCAGCCAGAGGGTTTCGGTTTCGGCAGTGCTCTCGCACGACTCTTCCTCCGTGCCCTTCCGGAGCAATTCACAAAGAACAGCACCTACGCGTTCTTCCCGTTGATGACGCCCGAGGCGATGAAGGTATATTTGAAGGATTTGAAGTTGTTGGATCAGTATGATATGAACCGGCCCACGAGGAGGGATCCTGGGCTGGTTGCCAGTGACTATACAGTGGTGGGCAACATTATCAAGGATCCTAAGTTTATTGCGCATTATGAGAAGAGGGCTGAGGACGTTATTTCTGGGAAGGGGTGGGTATCACGTTCTCTCCAGCGATGTTCTTGTTACTTATCGAACGTGGAATTATGCAGATTTTTCAGTGCACCGGAAGATCGTTCAGAGCAAGAACGCGTCCTGGGTGCCCTGGCTGGAACTCCGGATGCCTCGGCGGAATTGACGAAATTCTTCTTTGAGAAAACACAAGAGCTCATCAAGAGCAACTCGTTCACCCTGTCTGGATCCCAGACGCGGTCGGTAAATCTTGTTCGAGACGTTCTCAAGCTTGTTCCGATTCATTGGATCGCTGATATCGTGAGTCATTTGTGGGTGATATAGGCGCTTGAGCGCATGGGTATTGAATTTGTCACTCACTATCGTTCTATTCTTTGGCGTAGAGCGGTTTAAAAATCAAAAGCTCGAACTCAGATGATGGTGATTTTACGGCGATTGATTTGTACAATATGCTTGGGGATATTTATTCGTACGTGTTTTCTTTTTCTAGACGAGCGTTTGGGCTGATGTTGTTGATCTTTCAGATACATTTTCTTGGACGTTGAGCTCTCTAAGTTGATGGTTCTCAAGACAAATGTTCAATCTCACGTGAAAGTTCTCTTGGAAAAGATTGAGAACGGCCTTCGTAGGTCAATCAGCAGAATGGTACGCGCGAGCATTTGTCGATTCCTCCGTTTTTGGTAACCAACGCGTTTGTCACAGTTCCCCATATCATTTCTCCTCTCCTTTTTCTGCCGATCCAAAAAGCCCACTGAACACATTATCGTCCAACATTTACACACACTCGGATACACATCCTCACATGAGCAAGCCAATGTGCTTCTAGCTATAATGGTTGGGAGCGTCGAGCTTTCTGTGGCTTGTACTAATATGGTGAATCTGTATTTGGATTCGGAGTACGAGGATGTAATTCGGCAGTTGGCGTTGAATGGTGACAAGGGAGGAGAATTAGCTGGGTATGCAAGAGAGGCGCTTAGTGAGTAGTAAAATCTTTTCCCTCGCTCGATGAATGACTGTACAATGCGTTTAGGATTGGATCCTTCGTTCAAGGGTGTCTATCGTGAGTCCAAAGATATTGTCTAAGCTGAATAATAAATCTTTGCATAGGCATTGCCTCATCCGACCACAATGCTGATGGATTGACCATCCAAAAGGACGGTAGAGTATTCTTGGATATATATGCTGCAGGACAAAATGTAGTCATTCCTCATTAATGATTTCTCTTACTAATTGCTGTCACAATTTCGCTTTTTTCAGGATCAAGTGTTCCCTCAACCTGACAAAGTAAACGCGCGCAGGGATCTCACCGGGAAGACGTATATAATAAGCGATGGTATATCTCGGTAAGATCTAATGCGTTCATCTATTCCGTTCATTGGGCTAATCAAGGTTGGTGTAGGTGCTTTGGAGAAGATATCACCGTCAAAGTAAGCACTTTCCTGTATCTCCCTTACGTCGTTCCAATCCTAAACCAAACCTACAGATCATGACCCACGTCCTCCGAGGAATATTTGCTATCAAGGATATTCAGCGTGCACCTGGAAACTCCGGTGTCCTTAACAGGTTCAAAGACCATGAACGGCACGAACTTAATCATGCTTATCTGGATGAGAATAAATTTGTTTCTCCATGGCCTAATTCTTTGGCTGTCGTGGTGAGTTGGTGTTGAATACGTTTGTATGCGTTCTGACTGAAATACTCCCGAACACTTGTGCAGTATACGGACGATTCTTGAAGCGGCAGGAGATACTTATGTATATGGACAAACTTGTAGTATGACTACGTAACATAGGTTGAGAATATTCCTCCAATCGAAGCCTTCCAGAGATGCTGTTGAGCCGTCGAAGTGAAAAGCATTGCGAAAAACAAAACAAAAAAAACATAAAAAAAGAGAAAAGGAACAACAGGACAATTTGTCTTCGGCTCAAAAAAGAATGTAAGAAGTGGACACACTGGGAATTGAACCCAGCACCCCCCGCAAGCTGATAATGCTAAGCGGATGTGATAACCAACTACACCATGTGCCCAATATCATATTTTTTGAACTGTCACTACAGATGTACCAAGATTAAATATATCGACTAGGCCAAATGCGTTTGAACGACTCTCAGTCTACACGATGCCCATTCATTCACTACCTCCTTCTAAAAAACAAAAACTCTCATCTCGCCCCTCTAATCGTTCATCAGAGCTTCAAACTAATGTCACCACTATCGCCGCTCTTGAAAGCCAACTCACCGCTGCCCTCGCGGTTTCCACGTCTGGCAATTCTGGCTCTGGTTCTTTAAACCCCATCGCAGACCTATATTCAATAGCCGCAAATGCAAACATAAGTGCAGAAGACACGTCGAAAGCTATTTGGGCCCTATATAGAGTCTGGGTCTTGATTATTGGCAGTGGCAGGTTGAATTCGAGTATCAACGAAGCGGATTCGAAGATTGTCAAAGCATGGCTTCGGGAACGACTCAACGAATACGTGGAACTCTTGTGTGGCCTGTTGAAAAACGAGGAGAAAATTATTAGGGCAAGTTTGTCGAAATACGAGATCAACACTCGATATTAACATGTCCTACGACAGACATCCTCCCTTCAAATTTTGTTCTCAATACAAAAACACCTCTCAACGTCCATCTCCGCAGGAAGTCCCGAATTTCATAATACACATTTCAGGAAGATCGTCCATGCGTTGGTGTTCTGTCCGCCTTCGCGTCAAGGCAATGCAGAGAATGTCGAAGAGCCCGAAAATCTCATTGACATTGACGTCCTGGAACTTTTCCATTCGACGTGGCTAGGCGTCTACGACGATGTACGATGGTTTTTCCTGCGTCAAGTTGGGCGAGTGTTTTTCTCCATTGCGAATCCTTCACCGTTTCGAATCAGAAACTAATCATCAACCATTCAACAGCACAATCCTTCAAAAAGTCGACTTGAAGACTCATCCGTATGCCCCAACGAACGCACTTTCAATACTCGAAAAACTTGCCTCCTCTCCCTCGTTGCCAACTTCTCCAGATCGACTGTCGACGGAAGGAAAATGGTGGGTCGAGGAGATGGGCCGAAAGCCACCAAAGGTCAAGAAGACTAAATCAAGATCTACATCGGAAGGTGCCGCATTAGAAAGTGATGAAGACGAGGACGAAAACCAAGACGAAAACAAGACTGGAGAAGAAGAAGACGATTGGAGAAAGTTCTTTGATGAGCAGGATAAAGATAAAGATCCCAAAAATTCAACGAAAAACGTAGGCATCAAAGGCCGAAAACATACCTTGACCCTTCACCAATCCCTACACAATATCTCTTCCCATCGAGCGGTATTTACGCATGCTTGGCTGAGCTTGCTCTCCAAGCTCTCAGTGCCGGGAAGCGTTGAGGGTACAAGGAACTTGGCAGTCCGCGCGTTGAACGTCATGCACCGCGGTGTGCTTCCATTCATGACAAGACCGGTGTTGGTCATGGATTGGGTTGGAGCATGTGTTGATTATGGTCAGTCTTTGCTTTGCCACTTGCTCTTATATCTTTTCCTTGCTTTTTGCACCCCCGGTCATAAGGATATGCAACCGAGATAATATGCTGTAACGTATCTTTGCCCCTTCATCGACCGCGTTTTTTGTTGCCCCTCTCTTCAAATCTTTCCATCATTAAACCACGATTTATTGACGTCTCATTCAATCGCAGGCGGAACGCCAGGTCTCCTGGCTTTGAACGCATTATTTATCCTCATGAAGGAGTACAATCTGTGAGTTCCCGCATTTCCTTACGTGTTTACCCATCTTTCTGTGTCCCGTATACTTTGTGCTCTGCGTTGGCTTGATGTATACTTTTGTCTTTCGTTTTCCGCGTTAAACTTATCACCGTCTGACTCGTTTATTATTCCGCCCAACAGAGATTATCCATCATTCTACACCCGACTGTACGCTTTCCTTGACCGTGATCTGCTCCACCTCAAGCATCGCGCGAGGTTCTTCAGGTTGGCAGAGGTGTTTCTGGGGTCGAGGTATGATTCTCGTTGTTGTTTCGGATACATACTAACCAAGTCATTTCTGGTTTCTGCCTCTTGTGCACAACTCCCTCCTTTCGAATAGTCATCTCCCACTAACGCTCCTTGCCTCATTCATCAAGCGGCTTTCTGTCCTTTCTCTCTCTGCTCCGCCGTCCGCAATCGTCATTGTGATACCATTCGTGTGGAACTTGATGAAAAGGCATCCAGGCTTGATGGGAATGATACATCGCGAGTGGGACGAAAAACATGGCGCGTTCGAAGGTGAATATCTGACCTATGGGCCTCACTAACATCTATGATCACACGCCAACTTACCTTTTATGTTCACTCATAGATCCCTACGTACGCGTACACCCGAGCGACCCACTTTTAACAGACGCGCTCTCCTCCTCCTTGTTCGAGCTTCACGCTCAAGTCTCCCACTACCATGCACCTGTATCAAGTATGGCCAAAGTCTACGAGGGAGTGTTCACAAAAGAAGAGTATAAGATGGAAGACTTCCTGGACCATGGGTATGGAAGTGTGAGTTTTCTTTCATTTAGTTCCCCTTGTTATTCTTCATATTTTTCCTTCATTCACCGACTCTTTTCTTCTGCTCGCGCTCATTGCTTTTTTGACACAGCTCTTCGAAGCTGAGGCGAATCGGAAGATTAAAAAAGCGCCGGCGCTCAATACCGAGTTAGAATTGATGCTAAGTAATTCGGCACAAACGGCGAAAGGGAAGAAGAGGAAGATTGAATTATTTACTTCTTTGAACGTGCAAGGAAGTGGGACCACTAACGAGGCTAAGGAATGGGGGAAAAACGGTGAGCAGGATAAATTGGAAGCCGCGATTACCGGTGGCTTTGGGGGTGATATAATCAATGAGCTATGGCAGTTTGAAGATAGGCTGAATGCTTGAATATAGTTAGAGAGAATACTTGGCTACGGTATGCTATCATATGCACTATAGAGACTGCGAAGAAACTGTTACCCGATTCCGAATTCTGGAGGGACCTTAGAAACTTTACTGTGAGTCATCTCTTGTCATCCCTCGTCATATCTGTTATCTGGTTGTTTTAGCTTCTCACCGTGTAGTATAACCCTTTGATTTTCTTGTCACTTACGATTTCGGTTGGGGTCTTCCCTCATACGAGAGGCAATCAGGTTACCTTTTTCAACGCGTATCCTCATATCTGTTGTTCCTTATCTGGCCGTGCGCGCGCAAATCAAGGAGTTCCTCGAATGCTATCAGCGTTAGAACTCACAAGCGTCGGATGGATGGATTGCTCTCAAGTCAACAACATGAATTCCGCCTCGCAGGCCTTCCATTGACTTCCACTTTGCAATCTGACAGAACATTCAACATGCCTCTGTTTCAATCAGACTGGGATCAGTGTCTACATGCTCCGAGTGGAATTTGGGTTCCGGGGATTTTTTCCTGGAATGACATTGACCTTTCCTGCAGAGAACCAAAAATGGATAATGAAACGAAACAGCTATAAAAGCCAGCTCAAATTCAGCTTCGTTTTCTTCAACAGTTGGTCTCAACTCGTCTACGCACTAATCTTTAGCAAAGCTCAGCATATATCCAGCATGTTCTCTACCAAAAGTTTCTTTGTTGCCTTTGTTGCCTTTGTCGGCGCTCAGGTTGTTTCTGCTGCCGCGGTACGCACAAAACATTGTGTTCGTCGATATTGCACGGTACTTTACTCATGAAACGCGTTGTTCTTCAGCTTGCTCCAGCGACAATCACCGCCTGCTCTGGTGCAGGGAACCCACCTCAGGGATGTGTTACCATCCCGGTTGTGTCCGACGATTGCACCGATCTCACCGGAGGCCTGAGCTTCTTGAACAAGGAAATCACTGTGGTTACAGTTCCTGATGGATTTGTGTGCTCTTTCTATTCGTATGAATGCTTATTTCTCGGTCTCGCACATTATACGGATACCAACGACTGAATTACAGGGAATTTGGATGCCTTGGAAGCCAGAACGCACACAATGTCGTCGTTCTTACGGGTGGAACCTGGGACATGAGCTCAGTTCCCGGGATTGCTTCGACCCAAGACTTCAACGACATGACGAGCTCTTTCACCTGCTCTCCTGTTTAATTTTGACCTTTGATGCGACTGCTATATCCAGTGTTAATTGATTATCTACTATGTCGCTAGTATGTAGCTAGTATCTTTTTCTTGGAGGTCTATGCAGTAGTACATGTTGCAGTTGTGTTTGCGTATTTAATGAAGGGGGAAATTATATGTTGTTCATCGCAAGTTCATTTACTGGGACTGCACGCAAAAAATTGGTCGCCGCAAATAATCAGAGAGAACTTGACTTGCAATAAGTAATGGAACTCTCATGTTTTACAAACTGTGCATTTACATTCGTACAATCCAATGATGTGATAGAGACACAATACAAAATGATATTTCGACAGATACGAAAGGCGAGATGCAATTCAGTAATGCATCCGAGGCAAAGCCGGAATTTATATGATGGAAACAGAAAATCTACCAATCACCGCCACCGTAGTCATCCCCACCGCCGAAACCATCCCCGCCACCATTGTAATCGTCCATTTGACCTTGTTGAACACCTGTGTGATCACGTAACCGTGTTCAGCATCGAACACAATCTGATTAGAATTAGACCCGAAAATTCACCGTCCTGGTAAGCGTCAAACCGTTCTTCATCCTCATGATGCTCAATCATCTCTCCGATGAGTGCGCCACCTACCAGTCCAGCAGCACCCACGCCAAGCATTGTACCCATGCCGGGACCAGATTTCTTCGGTGGCGGAGCTTGCACGTAAGCTTGTTGAGGAGTGTTATTGCTTGGCCGATTGAAGAAACCTGGCCAAAACGAACATTAGTATTGGGATTGACGAGCGATTGAGCCGAAGGCGGACCGGCTTTCTTACCTCTGTTTTCTTCTTCTCTATATCCACCATACCCTGGCCCACCATATCCAGGGCTTTGTCCATATCCCTGTGGCGGTGGTGGACCGCCACCGTAATACTGCTGAGAAGGTGGAGATTGTTGGTACC